AGCTTATGGAAATGTTAGATTTTTTTTTGAATTTTCGATATATGACAATAGCGCAAAAAGTATCAAATATGTTTTAATAGAGAAAAAAAATTACTGTAGCTGTAATGACTATATTTTTATTTGTTTTTAATTGTGTCGCTCTTTGATGACCATTTATGAAACCTGCATTTTCGTCTTTCATTCTTACGTACGTCTAGCAATTTCCAGAACTCAAATTATATATATGAATAAAAGGAGTTGTCGGTTTTATTTACGTCAATAATACAGCAAACAAACCACAAAAAAACAAACAAAAAACAAAACAAAAAGACATCCAGAGGGCAAAGTGGATTTTTCGGCTTGCAGTACAAACTATAAGTATAAGTATAAAGAACAGTTATATTATAACTATACCACGTCAAAAGTTCTCTCGTTTATTTCATTCCATAGTAGAGTGAAATGACTTACTTTCATTTGACCTTTAAAGAGGCAGAATTAGTTGACACAAATTTTGAAACTTATGATAAACAAGAAATCACAGCTTATTAGTGTTAGTGTACCGGAAACGAAGGTAACAACCTATCTGGTAAGGGTTCACCCTGGTAAGTTATACCATCTCCAAGGACGTATATTATAGTTATACGAAATACAATATTTACATTTCTTTACGGTCCTATGTTTTATATAATTCTTTCTATATTTAAATGAAATAGGGTAATACCCATTGAATTCCTTTCTGCACGGGCGATTTCGTCAGTCAGTATATAAAATTTAAGGTGTGTTTGACAATGCGACGTCCGTTACAAGATAGTAAGGACTAGGTTAGTTTGATATACTATTCCCTCCCACCCCATTTGCCCATCTTATGTATGTAACATTATCGTTTCTTTTCGACTTGTGTATGGTAAAAAATTATGCCTTTTTGTATGGCTGATTGTATATATTTATGTTGAACATGTTAAATTCCGTAAACGGACAGAAAGTCACAGGACAAAAAGTCACAGGACAAAAAGTCACAAATAATTTGTTGACAATTGTTTGAATATATAAGAGAAAGATCTTGAAATATTTTCTTTTTATTACATATATTCATTTTTAAGTTTAGGAAATTGTTCATAAGCCTTTATAAATGAAAATTTATTAAATTTTAATCATGCAAAGGATATATTTCTTGGCACAATGAAACCATTTAAGTACCAAGCCACGTTGACATTTTGTTTTCATAACAATTATTTGATCATTATTGATATTTATTGAATACATTTTAATTACAAAGTTACTTCACATATAATAGTTCAAGAAAAAATAAAAATTTTATTTTCTAAATGAGTGTTTTCTTGTTTAAAGAAAAATAATCTCAAAACTGAATTGTGACTTTTTGTCCTGTGACTTTTTGTCCGTGACTTTTTGTCTGTGACTTTTTGTCCTGTGACTTTTTGTCCGTGACTTTTTGTCTGTGACTTTTTGTCCTGTGACTTTCTGTCCTACATTTCTAAATTCAATGCGATCTTGTAGCGAACGCACAACACTATACTGTGTTTGGTTTTTTCTACGATATCTAGTTAAGAAAAAACTTTATTATCGGAGGGGTGAAACGAGGGAGAAAATAATATGTATTGACCTATAATGGTTTACTCTTATGAATTGTAACTTGGATGGAGAGTTGTCTCATTGGCACTCATACCACATCTTCCTATAACTATTAGATACACATTAAGGGCGTTAGCCCGAATGAGTGCGTATTACTTACAGCAATTGAATATTGTCAATGCAGAATGACAAATTCAATAATTTAGGACAGGGACTTTCAATACTAACGGATTCCCTGTTAAGGAGGAGATCTTTTAACAATTTGACAATATGCTTTTGAAATGCATGATAAATGCAGGGTATCCAATTTATTTATCGACATCTTTGTGTAAAAAAAGATACAATATTGCTAGATAAATAGGAAACAAAAACACATTTCCTTGCATAATCTTATCTAAAATTGTTGAAAATTATCATAATTTGTGGGTATTTTTTTAACATGATACACCAAAGCCGAATTTTGTATGTTTGCATTACACCCTTGCACTGTTTAGATTAACGTATACATTAGAAGGTAGGTTAGAAAGTCACAAAAAAAGAATTAAAGAACAAAACGCCATTATATGGTTTTTCGGATAATGTTTTTTTGGCAAATATTAAAAAAATAAATCTAAAACTTTTACATATACCGTGATAACATTTTAGGTAAACACCTAGAGTTACAAATATACCAGCATACATTTTGATAGAAAAAAAAAAAACATGCTATCAAAGATACGTCAGAAATGCCTAGATCCATGCCTAAGAAATATACATCTTTTTATTGTTCACATTTATTTAACCTCCATCCAACAATGGGAAGGAACATTTGCCATAGCTGTGAAATGAATTGATTTAAAACTACTTTAAACATATTTATTTCTGTCTTGTCAATATCTTAGCATAGAATATAATCAGAATATGGTCTGTGTATAAAACAAGTATACCGCTGTAATACAATCACTAGACAATTTATACATGTAAATATATGCTACTTCCTACAGAATTTTGTTTTGTTTTTAGTTTTTAATTATTTTTTTGTCATTATCGTATATTTTTTTTAACCACTAAATTTGCGGTTTTGTGATATGTTCGTGCAGTTTTAACAATGTCGTCACTAGTGTTTAGAAAGAAGCTATTATAAAATGTGTCAGAACCTTAAATTACACATACATGAACGGAGCTATATATGTCTCTGCTATAAGAGGAAGAAGAAGAATTATTTGCTATAGTGCAACTTGAATAAACAAATAAATACATAATTATTTTATATTAAATACAATTGTTATTAAAATGAAAGAAAGGATTAACGCATTTACAAGCATATAGACTCGATGCTGAACTTAAATTAGGTTGTATTGTTTTAACGGAAAGTTCTATGAGGATCTGGAGGGGGTCCTTTATTTCCGTTTTCTTTAATTTATTTTGCCGATTTTCTCTATTCTTTACACTTTTTGTTTATTATTATCAATACTTTATATTCAAGCACCTTATTATTCTCTATTCTTTATTTTTTATCCACTTTCTCTATTCTTTATATTTATTGCCCATCATTCTCTATTCTGTAACCCCCCCATCAACATCTTTTTCTTTCCGATGGTATGTTATTTATAGTTTTATGTCTCGTCACGGTCTTAGTGCAGTTTTCAGAATATTAACTGCACTCGGAGACATGATTCCCTGATGCGGCCTTAGTGACTACGCATCACTACGAAATAAAAGCAAAAAAAAAAAAAAAGACGGTTGTCCAAATATAAAAATAATAACACGCACGGGGAATGATCATTACTAAATGCCACGAAGTAATTATTAAGTTTTAGAGGAAAGTATCGAAAGATAACGAAATTAACGATATAAATTATCTGACATAAAACATATTTGTATTTACGCTGATCGTTCCCGATGAAGTTAAATCCAGAACCGTGCTTCAGACGCATGAAATTTATAAGGTGTTTTCACTCTTTTGTTAATGTTATGTTTAAAATTTGCAATTACTTCTTTTCAAAGAATAAGTATATAAATACATAAATTAACATCAGAAAATAAAAAATAAAATAAAATCATAAACAGTTATAGGCGAATAATTTATTTCCTCAACAAAACAAAATCACTAATCTCTTAAAAAAAGACCAACAGAAATAAAAAGTCAACCAATGATTTTATGTTAAATTATTAAAAATATACGTTTTTCATTCTAGCATTTATATTGTAAATTTTTTGTAATTAAAATGTATCATCCACATGAAGGGGCGTAACTCCTAATATCATTCTGACACACTAAACGGATCTTAACCCGATCTGAAAATTTTGAACATTACTTTTTATGTTTGGTCTGAATTCGTCTAAAACCGTCTTAACATATCTTGTTTAACAGCTAGAGCCTTCTGTCTTGTTTATCTTGACATGAATGAACGGACTGAACACGACATATCTGAACAGCGTCTGAAAGTCTTAAAAAGTCTGAACGTTTTTCCCTAGCGGTAAATTCAGTCGATTAAGACTTGATCAGACCAAAATGACCGTTTCAGACTGAAATCTTGCTACTAGTGCTTACGGCACAATGCAACAAGGTACAGAATAAACTATCGAACAAATTGTTATATGTTATTTTCAATGTATTCAACAGATATACTTCTATTTAGGTTGCCATGTAAATTTGCATTAGTAGGCAGAACTAACCTAAATATATCAATATTTACAGATAACAGCTGTTTAAACCATATTCATAATTATGTTAAACTTATTTTTAGAAATTCGTTTACATTGTACCTGTATTGAACTTACCGCTCTGAAGTAAACTGAACTTTGCGGAAATTTATTACCGATTGCCGATATAATTGCTACTTTCTGTTATTGAATGTTCATGCTGCTTATAGAATAACTATAAAAAAAAGCCATTTGCCAATGTAATAAAAAGAATAACTAATCAAAGAATTCAAATAGAGAAAAATATTCAACGAGTGACCGAACAACACATTAATTCACGAATGTGTGTAGCGCATGAGTTAATTATCAGTGTTGTTCGGTCACTAGTTGAATATTTTTCGATATTTGAATTCTTTGATTAGTTATTCTTTTTATTACATTGGCAAATGGCTTTTTTTTATGAAATTAAAGTAGAAAATGTAAGGAACTATATCTCTTTCTACGCATTTACAATTTGTTTTGATCCGACATAATCGACGTGTTAACAACGCCTATTGTTGTATGACGTCAGATGAGTGAAATAACCACGTTTATTTCACATGTGAAATTATTGGTTTTTATTTCACTGGGAAATCAATGTAATTTATGGCAACCAATGTAATAATATGTTATAATACTTACATTACCGTTTATCTTATCAATTTTTCTAGTAAATTAGAATTAAGAAAGATTTTTTGAAAAGTACATGCATTAAATATGCTTGCTGTTTATATATATATATATATATATATATTATTTTACAACAGGTTCAAGGAAGAGACATATGAATATGGATTTTGGAAAAAACATATTTGTAGATATACAAGAGAAACCAAATCCCATCAGCAATCAAATCCTGGAGAAAATTAACCTGTGTAGTCATGACGTAATAATTTATTTACTTTTATCTATATCATCGTTTAGAATTTACTACGAAACGAAAAAATCATATGATAATTGATTGGTTGTTGTTTGGTGAATATATAAATTCTTTTAAATGAATAACTTGTAAAGCTAAGAATGTAGGAAAATGATTCATGTTAAATTCTTTTAAAAAAATGACAAAGTTCATTCCAAGAAGTTTTTTCTCCCAAAGCTAGATTTTACTGTCACTTTAAACACTTTTATCAATGTAATATTTTTGCACGCGTTTGTCATGTTTTTAATGGCAATGGATGAGGCATGTCTATCATTATAATTATATTAGTACTAGAACGCACCCATGACTCTGCGGGTCTGCGACTAAATTAAAGTACCTACGCCTTATTTTCAGCCTGGATTTTTAATATTCGTATCATCATTTGATTATAAGGTGCACAGTTTTCTCTGTTTGAATCCATCCTAGTTTTCTTACTACAACCGGAAACTACTTGCATTTGTATTTTTGATTGAATTTAGTAGTGTTAATCCCTGCATAATGACGAAGTTCAGGTGTGATTATGACCCGTGAATATAGCAAATCCCAAATACACACAGAGGCGGAACGTACAGATTAGGTACTGTTGGTATCGGTGTCAGATTTGACCCGGAACTCGTTAATCATTGGTAATTTAAATTTTGTGGAAAACAAAAGGCCTTGAATGGTGTAATTTTTAAACAACACTATTGGCCTATTTTAGTTATATATAAAGTTTAATTATTTGATTCGTCGTTTTTACATTATGCTGGCTAACAAATTGGACCTCGTTATTTTAGTTATATAGATGTGTTTGTATATGGTTTCGTTTTATTTGGAGTTTTTGTTCATCTGCACATTAACTAATTAGATTAAATCAAATTAGTAACACTATCTTCATATAATCCCTATAGGAAAAGGCTGTTTCTATAGGCGATCTTGGTGATATAATAACGAAACACAAAAAGTGGAAGGAATGTTTCCCAAGAGTTGAACCGTTTTATGGTAAGTAATCTTAACTGAGCAAAAACTCAGCCAGTTGTATTCAACCTACAAACGTTTTTATAATAAAGAAGAATCCTACGAAAATATCAGTTTTTCAAATTATTGTCTTTCCTTCAGAGCCTTAATGACTAATGTCAGTGATTATCTTTAAAATTTTGATTTTATGTGATAACTTTTTATATCACGCTACTGGAATGATATGTTTTTTTTTTAAGTCGAGCAGAAAGAAATGTATGACATTGCACATAAAAACCGTGAAAACAGATTATCAATAGTCTTTCAAACTTGAGTATGTTTCTTGGCTACATCTGATCTCAGGGATGTCGCCCTTCGATGAGATTGTAGCTGAGAAACATCCTGCTCGTTTGAAAAACCATCGATACGCTATAAATTTCGCTAATGTTTTTTAAATTTTGCTTTTATGTGCTTATTTTTCATAACATGCTACTGGAGTGATATGGGTTTTTCTTAGTCGGGTAGAAAGAAATCTATGACGCCATGATCGAGCCTATGTCATTGACATTGCCTAGAAAAACAGCAACAATAGATTATCAATGGTCTTTGAAACTTAGTATGTTTCTAGCTCATGTTTGTGCTTTGAGCGTTCCTGATGAAGGTAAATCTAGAAAAGCGCTTCGGACGCATGTAATTATTTAACGTGTTGTTTTCATTTTATTCTAGGCTACATCTGATCTCAGGGCTGTCGCCCTTCGAAAAGATTTAGCTGCGAAACACCATCTTGTTTGAAAAACCATTGATAGTCTATAAATATTTTTGTTTGTACACTATATGAATATGTATAAAATAAAAATCCGTTGAGAATGGTTTAATATATCAGTAGTGTTGGTAACTATTGTATCGATATAAAATTTAAAAAAAAAACAGACAAAAATATTTAGTAAAAAAGCAAATAGAAATGGCATTTATTATTGATATAATAAACAATTACAGTCTTTTTTTTTGCAGCTGTAAAATGTAATGATATTTATCCTGTAATTAGACTGCTAGCAGATATGGGCCTATCATTTGACTGTGCAAGTAAGGTAAACAAAAGTTGATAAATAAAGTTTTCAAAACATATCCACAGAATAATAGTGGAAAGATATTGTACCCTACCACAGACAACAAAAATTACAAGGGAACTACAAAACTGAATAATGTAATTTAAGAGAGGGACAGTCAAACTCATAGATCGAAAAAAAACTGACAACGCCATTGCCAAAAATAAAAAGACAAACAGACAAATAATAGTACAGATGACACAACATAGAAAACTAAAGACTAAACTATGTTCAGGTAAGATTTCATCAGTCTTTAAAATTCTAACCAGATCAAGAGACATCATGCTTGTCTACATAACAGTCATTATTCGCGATCGATTTACCAGTTGTACGGCCAAAGTAAATACAAAATTGAAGAATTAAACGAAAATTCCATAACATTGTGCCAGATTTTACTTATATAAAAAAGAAGATGTGGTATGATTGCCAATGAGACAACTCTTCACCAGAGACCAAATGACACAGAAATTAACAACTAAAGGTCACCGTACGGCCTTCAACAATGAGCACAACCCATACCACATAGTCAGCTATAAAAGGCCCCGAAATGACAAATATAAAACAATTCAAACAAGAAAACTAATGGCCGGATTTATGTACAACATAATCAACGAAAAACAAAAATGTAACACAGCAACAAACGACAACCACTGAATTTCTGGCTCCTGACTTGGGACAGGCACATACGGAATGTGGCGGGGTTAAACATGTTAGCGGACGCCCAACCCTCCCACTAACTTTGGACAGTGGTGTAACCCCAAGTCAAAGTGGACAGCAGTTCTTTAGCAGTTTATTAGCATTCACAGTTCTTACTCGACAGCTGTTCTTTAGCAGTTCATTAGCATTCCACACACACAGTTGCCAAATTCAAGGCAATAGTTAATTTGCATATAGGCATTCCAATAGCATTCCATAGCAGTTTCTTAGCAGTTTTAGCCTTCACAGTTATTTAGCAGTTATTTTTGACGAAAAACTTAAATGAGATACTCAAAAACTGCTATCTTCTCTGAATATTCATGAGAACTGCTATAATAACAGCTATTAATAATGAATATTCATAGAAACTGCTAAGTTGTACATCCTAATATGGTTTTCTAAACTGCTAATAACTGCTATGGAATGCTATCAGATCTGTCAAAAGTTGGAATACAAAGGTACACATGAATATACAGTGTAAAAGATATGAATGCAAAAATAAAATTCTAATATTGTACTGCAAGTCTTGTTGAAATTTCAAAAAGTTGTACCAACATATATTTGTAATTTGAGCAGTAACTGCAATCAAATGACTCTATTTTAATCCAATAACAGACTTGTTAAGGGGTGTAAACATGCTTTGTGAGTACTGTACCTGGCCTTATATACCCCTTATTAATTATGTCAGTGGCAGAATAATAGGAACAGTTAAGAATTATAATGCACTTTAAATATCAGTGCTTATAAAAAGCATTAACTTATTCAATAAGAGTGGTTACTTAAGAGACTATTTATTACCTTGACTAAGTGATTTTCAGATTAAAAGTTATTTTATTTTAATAATTATTTAATTACCAAATGTACTACTAATTTCTCTTCTACTATATATATTTTGTGTGGACCAAAAGAAAACAGTTATCTCCTCTTTCTCTTTTGGAACTAAACAAAATAATTCTTAATACATGTAATATATTATGTTTCCACTTTCTGAAACAAACTTAAGTAACACATATTAACTTCATTAGATGGATTGTTTGGTCAATATTAAACAATCAGCTATATGTGACCTAGGTTTCCCTAATATTCCCTCCCTCTTTTTCAACTCTTGAATATGATTTATTTTTGTTTTTTTTACAAAATTATATTAAAATATTCATATTTTTATTTTCAAATAACATCTTGCACTGTTAGTATATGCTAGTATTTTATTACAATCCTATCATCATCAGATATTCTATTTGAATAAACAACTATCCCCCCTTTTTCTGGGCTTTCTGTAATATTTCTGTTTTTCCCTACAAAGTTATGTCAGAAAATACACATGCATTATCTGTAACTTCAACTTACTGTACTGCAGGTGTGAGAAATAATTCCATTTAGTCCAAATTAAACTTTATAATTGACAAAAATACAGTTTTTCACTAGCAAGTATTTACACACAGTTTGGAGCCAAAATGCACATTTGAAAATGATCAAATAACCTTCAAATAAAGGTTTACTATCAAGCTGAAAACACAGCCAGATCCAAGCATTTTTATAACAAAGATTAAAACCAAAACTGCTATCAAACTGCTATTGAACTGCTGTCATAACTATTGTCCAATTGACAAATTGACAACAGTTTAGAAGGTAGATCCAGACTTCTAAGATGAATGCTAAGAGGAATGCTAAGAAATGGTGAAATAAGGCAGTTTCTCAAACTGCTATTAGATGGAATGCTATGAACAGCTGAAAGACTGCTAAAAATATGAAGAACTGGTAAATAACAGCTAATAAACTGCTAATGATAGCAGTTCAGTTTGACTTGGGACAGTACAACATAAGAACAAACTATAAAAATCAGTTAAAAAGGCTTAACTCATCAGATGGAATATATGGCCATTAAAACCTGGGGAGGTAACTTTAGTATTTCGAATGATTCAACACTTTATAAAATTAATATAAAATTTACAGAAAATATCAGTATTGATGAATGCTCATTCAAAAGTGTGGACAACTTTGTTGGCTATACCCTCCGGGACGCAATTCTCACAAGAAGTTGCATTGATCGAGTGGTTGCAAAATCAGTGATAACAGGCTTATTATTGGGATCTCCATGCACGCGTTTTGTCTACTGAAGATTCATCAGTGGCGATCCAATCAAAGCAGAATAAAGTCCATATAAAAGCAAGCAATGAAAACCTCAAATTCTAAAAGAAAAGGATACGCCACATTGGAGGGAAAAAAAATAATATGAGGAATTTTCCCCAAAGAAATGACGAAAAAACAATTACTAGTAGTAGAAAAGAAATTCATTAGCCAAGCAAAAAATCCAATGAAAAGTTTTTGATCAGTTTTAGTTGGCATATATTAAACAGCGATCAGATCATATTATTCATTGTTAGAAATCTTAATATCTGTGCAAACTGAATATCGTGTTGCGTCACAATACGGGTTTTTGTGGTATGTGAAGAAAGAGAGAAAACTTAATAACGAGAAAATCAACATAATGTGATCAATGGAATATTTGGAAAACAATTTTGAACAAAGCATCCCAAACCTCATAGTATATTGAAAAGCCTGTCCACGACTCCACGTACACATACCACTTGTGGCATATTATTACATCACCCCAAACGACTGCCATAAGAAGCAGAAGACCATTGAATGTCATGATCCAATAATTGGAATATTAATTGGCATTAGATCTCACAATGCATCACAGTAATTTTAATTTACTAGAATCTCAGATGTAACGTTCCCGAACAGGGAAATTGTTGTTTATCCTGATATATGATTGGTGTTCTATATCAGATACGTTTTTCTTTCGGTTGACGAAAACTGTCTCAGATTAGCATTGCAAGAGAAATTTGCAAACTTATTTTTAGACTATTTCATAATTATGTATTGAAATGTCCATTCATATTTTATCTGAAACAAATCAGAACTAAACACTGGCTTTTGGTCAGATAAATCTCTCTGACACTAGAAATCCACCAAAGCTAATTCATATCAACGAATATGGAAGCAAATGAATAAAACCAGAATAAAACATACCCTTTTAGATATAAGTTCAGACTTTCAAATTGTTCATGTTGTCGGAACGATAATATTGCAATGAGTAGTGTCATATGTATTGTATAAATAATTTCATTGATAGGCTGAGATACAGAAGATTTTAGACCTTGGAGTTGATCCCTCTAGAATTGTATATGCCAACACATTTAAACAACTATCATTTATCAAATATGCTGCTGATAATGGAGTCACTTTGATGACATTCGATTCTGAGGATGAACTAACAAAGATCAAGAAAGAATACCCCCAAGCAAAGTACACAATATTTTAATTGAAATAGCTTTCAAATACGGTATACTTTTGATTTTGTTTTTATTATCTGTGAATTAGTAGTTGGTACGTTTATGCATTTGTAGGAAAAATATAGAACCAGTTATTGATGAAAATTATAAAAACAACAAAAGATCACTATACCAATAAAAATCATGATTTATCAATATAAACACACAAAAAACAAGATTGAGCCGATGTAGATCAGATCGGTAAGCAGAGTGTTGATTTTAGTTCCAACTGGGTTACTGTTGACATGTTAAAATCAGGTCATTTCTAGTGTTTTGCAGCAAGCACCTTAAATAGTTACCGTGATCAATTAAGGGTGTGGTGTCTTCTTTCGAAGCATCAACCGTTTTATAGATAATCCTGATAGGAAGCACAAACTCTAGACTTTTCTTTGTTATTGGGAGTAAATACTCCATTCAAATAAAATAAGATAAATGTGTCACAAAAGTTCAACTTTTGAACAGCAAAACGGTATACAAATATGTGTCGATTGGTTTGAACACAAAAGATATTCAAATGGTCAGAAGTTAGGTAGTTCCACATAATATTCAATATGACCACAACATCATTCAGAGAAGGCGTCATCGTAAACACAATTATCCATTTTTATATTGTAAGTTCTGGTAGTCCGTTAATTTAACAAATACAAAAAGACTCATAGTTGATTTTTTGAAAATAAATAATGTTTATTGAATTTCCATCAATCTCCTTGAAATTTTATTAACTATTCAGCAAAGTGATAACAAGTTATGTTATCTACAATAAGAATGTTCATCAATCTTCTTCAATTTTTATTAGTAATTCAGCAAATTAATAACAAGTTATGTTATCTACAAGTATAATATCCTTAATAATTTTATATTGACTATCTTGTTTCCTACATGTATGAGCCTGGAAATTATATTCAAAAGTTTTTGTCATGACTAATATATTGGTTACAAAAACTGAAAACCATCTGATTCCCTACTAAGAAAAGAATTCTCTTTTTATTAAAGCTTATTGCTGAGAATCAGTCCACAATCGAACAACAAGGTAATTTATCATCTGGGGAGAAAGTTTGGATGTCACCCGTTGACAGCTTTGAAACTGCTACAATTTGCTAAGAAATTAGAATTAAATGTCATCGGTATAAGGTAAGAATGGTTTATCTTAATGTTGTTTGAAGAATATTGTTGAAGGCATATATTCGATTGTTTCTGATTAATTTATTCATTCATTTTTTAAACTCGGGACTGGAATGAAGATTATAGCTTAATTTAGATGTCTTTTGGTTGTTTGCGTCTTTGCGACAATGGGTTGGAATCTCGTTTCTTGTTCACAACCTATAAAAAATATCAACATCTTAACTCTTAATATCTAAAAATCGTCTTTCTAATAGTAATAAGATGAATGTCACTAGTTTTCAATAAATATGGCTTGCTTTTCTTTAATTATTTAAAAATACATTCTACATATATCTACCTGAGTAAATCCATTTCAATTTCGGTTTTTAGCTTTATCGGTTTGCCACGACCTACATTGTAGTATAACAATTTTGTAAAAGCCAGTATACACATGGTATATGTCATATGTCTTAATGACAGTCGCCTTATGTAATTTACCTGTTATACAAATATTCTGTCACAGTTAAACGAAAATATCATGCTAATTAAGATATAAAGATATAATTTTATGGCAATATGATGCTAATTGAGATATCAAGATATATTTATCAAATTTAAGCAAGAATCATATGTGGCTATAGAGACAAACAATGAATTTTCTTAGACTAATGAAATCTGATTTTTTTAAAACTAGCTTTCATGTTGGGAGTGGCTGTTTAGAAGCCGGTGCGTTTGAAGCCGCAATAGAGCAGTCAAGACGTGTATTTGATTTAGGACTCTCTGTTGGATTTAACATGAACATCCTTGACATAGGTGGTGGATTTCCTGGCCAGAAAAATGTGCAGACAAATATTACTTTTGAAAAGGTAAGCCTCAATCAATACAAAATTACAGTCTGTGTGTATTGAATTCGAAAGAATCTCTATTATGAGGGTATTCAAATGAATGATAAATCAAAATGTTGAAACTCTTATTTGTCGAATTATAGGTACCGTTTTAGGCTGAAAATATGAGCAAAGGTTAACTTATAACGAAAACCATTTTCGAATTGAAAAAAACACCAAACTTACTTTAAGTATAGATTCAACAAATTTTATATACTTTTATCACTGTATTGTTAGAAGTAAGAAAGTACACAAGCATTGCATATATATCTGCCTTATGTATAAACAATTTTTTGATCAAAAACTACATAGTAACGGTTAAGTGAACCAATTGCAGGTTAAAAATATTAAGTTTAACTTGTGAAAGGTATTTTCATTTAATATATAATTTTTCTTCAACAAAACTTTAGTCAATTTATAAAATTAACAGTAACAAATATTTAACTACCCGTATGAAAAACATGACACGTACTCCAGCCGGACAGTAGCCGTACTGTAGCCGTACTGAGAACCGTACTTATAATATTCATTTGGACTTTTCTTTGAATTGCTTATAATAGATACCCCGGCTGGACTTTCAGCGAAATTAGCCGTAAACCAGCTCGAAATACTTAAATTAGCAGGAGTCCAGTTCATAAAGTCCAGCTGGACTTTAATAAAAGTACGTCTTAAAAAAAATCCAGCTGGCATTTCTGGCAAAAATATGGACTCTATAAAGTTCAGCTGGACTTTACAAAGTCTGGCTGAACTTGAAAAAGTCCAGCTGGACTTCAAAAAGTGCAGTTTAACTTTTAAATATGATTTCAGCAGGGACAAATCCAGCCATTTTCAAAAGGCGGGGTTCCTAACTCAGGATAAGGGGGGTGGGGGGGGGGGGGGTCCAACCATATGTCCCCATTCAAATGCATTGATCGTCAAAATAATGGGGGGTTCCAACCCCCAGAACCCTCCCCCTGGATCCGCCACTGCTCTGTTTTTCTTCAGATGGTTGATTCTTCTGATTTGATTTGCATCATGCATCCCTTGCTATAATCTGAAAATACAAAAAAAAACAGATGACATAATGCATATATACTGGTTATTTCTTTTTCTTTTTGTACTGTCTTAATGGCAAAACCAAGAAATGGGGAATTGAGAAGCTAAATGCTAACTTCTAAATATTTGTGGTTATAATAGCCTGAATAATTTCAAAGTGGCTAAAAATAAAATAAAGTTGGCTTTGAAAATTACTTTAAGTGTAGAAATAAACAAACTTTCAAAACAACTCAAATAATAACCATTCCTTAATACAGAGGGAATAAAAAATATAACAATACATTTTTAACATAATTCAAAACAGGAAGTGACAGTGACATAACAGACAAGATGAAAATTATTGCATGAATATAAATATTTGATGTAGATTTTTATTCTTTTTACGCTTCAAAAATAAGAATTAAGCTATTTATAATATTGTAATTATTTTATTAATATGTTGAATAAAAAGAGCATATCAGATTATATCACCAAAATGGTGGAATTCAATTTATTGTACTTACCAGAATATGCAATCCAAAACACATGCAAACAGCAATCTTCCTAAATTGTCATTGATGCCAGTCAGAAGGATCCATCTTCTCTATTTAATCTGAAAAGAACTACTTCCAAACATTTGCTTTACATCCAATTATTTAAAATTCTCATTTTGTTCAAGAAAGAAGACACATCTTCCTGTTTATTCCAAATTCAAAGTTTGTTGTATTGCAATACATGAGGTTGTTTAAGGAGTTGTTTTAAATGTTCCTCTTATGACTAATTGCATGTGCCTTAATTTTGAATATGTGATATATTAAAAAAAGAAAATCAATTATTAATTTGTTTAATTATGAAATTTTTAATAAGTATTAGTAATTGCAGAAATATGTATTTCGAAATGTGTTCTCCTACATATGGCCTCAATCTAGTACTTCCTGTGACCTGTCCAGACTGAGGTTAATTGAAAACAGATGGCACATTTCTACAAGACTAACTGCTATTAAATCACTGTTATATGGCTCAAGTTTCTAATTGATGTTAAAGAATGAATGATAATTATTAATTTTATGCATTCATCTAATTAAATATAAATATACTAGAAAATGTATAAATCTAACCTGTAACAGATGTTGCTAGTGTTTTTTTTTTATGAAAAAAGTAGAAATGTTAAATTATTGTTGTATTAAACATATTAACTTGGATATAATTCAATCAAAAGTCACCAAAATTAAATTTTAACTTTCCATCAACAGTCTATGTTAAATATTCCATAATGGAATTGAAAACCTAGGGAAAGTATCACATCTTATAGTTTGAACTAAAAGTATATTGCAAAAAATTATTTTTATCATTATTATTACTTGCAAACTTTCATTTTTAACTGTTTTACATTTTGAAAGAATTTTTCCTTTCAAAGAACAGAATCTTTTGTGGCAAACTTTTTATTTCTGTAAGGGTATAAGATTTGGCTGATGAAAATTTTCTAAGTCTAAATTCCTGCTCATAAATGAATGTAAAATTTTCTAAGACAAAAATCCTGCTGATCATTCTACAGTAAGGAATAAATTTCCTAAAAAGACCAGCCGTGTTTATTTTCTTGTCAGCATTACAAATAGTGTGGTTGGACTTTTAAGAAAATACCGGCTGGCAAATAACCCAAGTATAAGAAAAAGTACGTGTACGGCTCATGTCAGACTGGACTTTTCAAAGTCAGACTGGAATACGTCTCAAGTCCAGCTGGAGTCCAGTTGAACTCCTGTTGAAATTTTCATACGGGTAGATACGGATGTCGACGATTATTGTCTCTTCCGTGATATAGTCGTCGAAGACCAGGAATTCGAAGAATACATTGATAAAATTATTTCCACAATTTGATAACAGCATATTTCAATTAAACGATACCCATATTGTTTTGCTTGTAGTTGAGTACTTTTTACTTGGCTAGTGATACACTCTGTGTCTAAGAATTTCCGATAGAGGTATCGACCAATGACAGTTTTAGTAAAAACGTTAATGGTACAAATAATTTTACTCCACCATATGAGCATATCAACAATCTATGTCTTGTCAATGATGGTCGGTGCTAAAAATTTGAAAGTCGGAAACCTACTACTGTTGATTTATTATTATTCGTGGGATACCAATTTTCGTGGATTTCGTGGTTAGAAGTAAATCAAGATTTAAATAATCAGCGAGGTACACATTTTCAAAAATAAAAATATAAGTTTTACCCAATTCCAGGAAAAATCGTATAGAAACTAAATATGATACATAATAACTAATCAAAAGTCACAATAACTAATCAAAAGTATATATGATGCCTAATAACTAAGCAAGAGTACGGAAGAAACTAAATGTGATGCACAATAACTAATAAAGGGTACAGAAGAAACTAAATGTGATATCTAATAACTAATCAAAAGTATATCAGATGCCAAATAACTAATCAAGAGTATGGAAGAAACTAAATGTGATGCACAATAACAAATCAAGAGTACAGAAGAAACTAAATGTGATGTACAATAACTAGTCAAGAGTTCAGAAGAAACTAAATGTGATGCACAATAACTAATCAAGAGTACGGAAGAAACTAAATGTGGTACAGAATAACTAATCAAGAGTACAGAAGAAACTAAATGTGATGCACAATAACTAATCAAGAGTACGGAAGAAACTAAATGTGGTGCACAATAAATTATCAAGAGTACAGAAGAAACTAAATGGGATGCCTAATAGTAACTAATTCTATTTATGGAAGAAATCAAATGAGATGCCTCATAACTAATCAAGAGTATAGAAGAAATGAAATGGGATGCCCCATAACTAATCGAGAGTACGTAAGAAACTAAATCGAATGCCTAATAACTAATCAAAAGAGAAGAAGCTAAATGTTATGCCTAATAACTAATTAAGAGTATGGAAGAAACTTAATGTGATGCTTAATAACTATGATCCTAACAAAAAATTCAAAATAAAATATATCTTGATAAAACTACAATTAAATATCAGTTGATATATAAGGTAATATTAACTCACTCCGCTCAGAAAAAGTAACCGTCAAATTTAAGCAAATGTTAAATACTGATGTCTTTGTTCTTAATGTTTAAGTGATAAATTAGACACTATAAAGAAAAAAATAATAAAGTGACGTGAGCGCCATACAAGTTTCAATATCACTTCGGTGAAATTTCCATATATATAGTTCGTCGTGAGTACGAATATATTTAATTCGTTGGCAATACTAAAGCCCCCAGCTCTGGCCTTCTTTCTTGTTGTTTCAAACCTCCAGAAATAATATTAATGAAAATGAAGAAAGCATTGGAATAGCAAAAGAAGAAAAACTGTATCAGCAACTTTAGAGTTTGATTTAAAACCATTCAAAACTGTTTATATAAATAAAGTGAAAACAAAAGGTTACCGAATAAAATCAAATGAATTTGTATACAATTCATTTCCAAACTGGTTTCTATTTTAAATTAAAAAGATTTTATTCGAATTAGGTAGTTTATTGCACTTTTTGAGTTATAGGAATACTAACACTTATTTTAATGATATTTTTATCTCTAGAACTGTCTTATGTAATAAATTTGATTAACAAGTGGCTGGTTCACCTAGGTCTATGTGCATCTTCGTCAATGGACACTGTTCAGATTTGTAGCCTATAATATTATTCATGACTAAAATCTCTGTTTTGGTAAACTTGCATTGCTGGTATGTTTTTCATGCAGTTTACAGTTTCTCTTTATCGTCTATAGTTTTTGCCCAAAACACAATAAGTGTAAAAATCGTCATTGAAGTGCAATTACTCCTGAAAGAAGACAACTGATTAGTTCATCTACGTATATATATATACCATATATTTATGCTGAACTATTTGCAGATCTTGTCTTTTAGATAATTTTTACTTTAAAGTTTCTATCTATCTATTATAGTTTTTAATATAATAGGCAAACATGCACAAATACGGC